GCAGCCCAGCTCCAGGTTGAGCTGTTGTTCAGCATCTTAGCTGTAGAGGGCAGTGTCACTGGCCCTCATATGTGGGATCTGAACCAGGGCCCTCTGGTGTCCCAAGCCAGCTCTTAACCAACGCGCCACTCCGCCGGCCCTGAAATTTTATATGTGTATAGCAACTCTCCATTTCTTCCTCCCACAGATGCTGGCAACCACCATTCTAGCCTTTGCTTCTATGAGTTTGACTAGGAGGTGTGATTACAAAATATGGTGACTATTTAAATAAAAAAATATATATTACAGTAAAAGACACATTGCCATTAATCCCCCTCAAAATACTCCCACTTGCTTTGAACACCCTTTTCCCATTGTTCTTGCCGCGTTCTGAAGCACTCCTGGAAGTCCTCTTTCGTGAGTGTCTTTAGTTGCTCTGTTGTGGCTGCCTCAATGTCCTGAATTGATTCAAAACATTTTCCTTTTATGGTCACTTTGACTTTGCGGAAGAGCCAGAAGTTGTATGGTGTTAGATCCAGTGAATAAGGTAGATGAGGACACACTGTAATATTTTTATTTGACAGAAATTGCCATGCCAGAAGTGATGTGTGACATGGAGTGTTGTCATGATGGAGGATGAAGTAAAGACACTCCACAAAAGAGGACTTCCAGAACTGCTTCAGAAAGTGGCAAGAACGATGGGATAAGTGTGTTCGAAGTGAGGAGGAGTATTTTGTTGGGGATTTATGGCAATGTGTCTTTTACTGTAATGATTCTTTTTATTTAAATGTTCACTGTATTTTGTGATTACACCTCATGTTTTAGATACTTTATGTAAGTCAAATCACAGAGTATCTGTCCTTCTGTGACTGGCTTATTTCACTTAACACAATGTCCTCAAGGTCAACCTTAAAAAAAGAAGTAAACCTTGCAATATGTGACAATCGAGATGAACCTTGAAAGGTTGGTTATTAAGACTAAAAAGAAGAAGGGGTCTACATGGCATATTTGGGCTTTTAAACCACAGCAGCAAGGCAGAAGCCAAGTTACCAGAATATGGGAACAATTCTGGAAATAGAGACCATCAACCCACATTCCCTAAGGTGAGAAATGTTTCTGTGGGTGAACATGGAGCTGATGAGTGGCAGCCCGTGAACTTCAGCTATCAGCGAAGAAGGATACAGGGGCTGAGGATCATGTGTAGCTAGCTGGGCATGCCCAAACCTAAGGGTATAGCAGAGCTCTGGCCTTAGACCGCCTGGGTTCAAATCTTGCCTTCAGTACATGCTAGATATACAATCTTGTGCAAACTATTTAACCTCTCTAAGCCTCATGTTTATTGGCAGAATTCAAATAGCCATAGCACCTATCTCTTGAGAGTCATTACATAGATTAAATGAAACTCCACACAAAGCTCTTAATAGAGTGTCAGACACATCGTGGGTGCTCAATAATGTTAGCAATTATTACCATTTTATCAAAAACTACTGTTTGATTTTGAAACCCAGAATATCTCCAAATCTGATGCTTTTTTTACTTCTCTGGGTTTAAAGATGTGCTAGACGCTATTTACAATAGCCAAGACTTGGAAACAACAGAAATGCCCATCGGTAGACAACTGGATTAAGAGACTGTGGTACATTTATACAATGGAGTATTACTCTGCTATAAAGAAGAATGAAATCATACCATTTGCAACGACATGGATGGACCTAGAGACTATTATGTTATGTGAAATAAGTCAGTCGGAGAAAGACAAATACCATATGATCTCACTTATATATGGAATCTAAAAAACTGAATGAACGAGCAAAGTAAACAGAAACAGTCTCAGAGATATAGAGGAACAACATGATGGTTGCTAGTTGGGAGGGAGGTGGGGATGAGGGAGAAAGGGAAGGGATTAGACAGCATAAATAGGTAACTACAATATTGCTACAGAGATATGAAAGACTGTTCAGGGAATATAATTAATTCTGTTGTAAATATTTTGTAGGGTGTCAGATGGTCACATGTCTTGTTAGGGAGACCACATCATGGATGGGGTAGATACAGGCTTGATCACTGCACTGTACACCTGAAGTTGATGTTGTATAATATTGTATGTCAACTATAAGTGAAGATAGATAGATAGATAGATAGATAGATGATAGATAGATAGATAGATAGATAGATAGATAGATAGATAAATAGTCATGGGACGTGGAGTATAGTGTGGGAATGGAGTCAAGGGAATTGTAATAGATATGTATGATATTGGGGGGAACTGGGGTGGTGGATTGGGGGATGGGGGTTGTCACTTCGAGGGGTAAAAAGTATAACTATTGCACTGTGTTGTACAGCTCAAACTAATTTAAAAAAATGTGTATTTCACAATAAAAAATTTATTACAGAAAAAAAAAAGATGTGCTAGAATGCTCAGTAAAAGGGACCTAGAGCCATCCATGGCATCTTCGCTCCAGCTCTACTGCAAGGATTTGGTGTCAACACTATTCCCCCCTTTGTTCATGTAACCTCATCCATACCTTTGCCCGGATACCAAAATCCCCCAAAATGATAATTAACTCCTTAAACAAAAAGAGCTTTATTTTTAGTAACGCTGGGTACTTGATGCCCAGGGAGCATAAGAAACTTGACCAAGGCATAGGTGTAGTTGTAGAAATAGGAGAGTGGTCACTAACCTCTTACTGACTATTATGGGGCACCAGATCAAGACCTTATAGGCATGACAAAGGGCACTCCCAGGCATCACATCATTCAACTCCTCACAAGAGTCCTTCATGACAGCATTATTATCCCTATTTTACAGGTAATGAAACTAAGGATGAATAAAGGGAAACAATTCAACTGTGGCCAGCTAATAAATATTAGAGTTGGTATTCCAAGGAGTTGTAGATTAACTAATAAACAATGAGAGTTTATCATGTGCCCTGCTCTATGTTGAGCCCATTGCATGCACCATCTCATCTAACCATCACCACAAACTTATGAAGTGGCTAAAATAACTTTCCCATGCTAAGTTTATTAATAATCGGTGGGTATAAAATATAAGCATAGGACTGGACTCCAAGACACACGCTCAGATGTGCAACCAGATGCCAAGGCATCGGACTGCCAGCCCAATGCCCTCTCCCATCCCCCCACTAGTAGTAACAAGAGTGTGGATGCCAGTTTCAGTCTTTGTGTGTTATGCACTCCATCCAAGAGATCCTGGAGCCATGCCTTAAACACCAAGACGTTGAGGTGAAGCATCAGGGAACAGAAATGTGGCCCCATCAGATTATTGCAAGCCTTTATCCAAACTTTGGCCTTCAGAAGGGAGAAGGCTGTGCTGAGAATAGATCTGGGGAACGTCCCAGTGGCTGAACTCTGCTGCTGACACCACAGAGGTCCAGCAACGCTGCTGAGCTTGTGGACAGCAGACAACTTGCTCCTTGAGTCTACATTGGAACTGCGGGTGTTAGGAAGGAAGAACGGGGGAGGTGAGGAGAATGAATGTGGTATTGAGAAATCTATCACAAGCTTCAGAGCCAAATCAACTTGGCTAAGACACTTCCCAGTTATGCAAACACAGGCTAATAATACTTATATTTGCCATCATGTATTAAACACTTTCTATGTGCCAGGATAAGTGGTTTGCATGACTGTTTCATTTAATGAAAATCGCTTGAACTCATTAGTCCTGAGTTTCTAATGTATGAAACAGATTTAATAATATCCAAGCTGTTATAAGGATTAGAGCTGCTATGGCCTAGTGCCTGGAATTCATCAGAAGTTAAAGAAGTGTTCATGTTAACAATATTAAGCTAATATATGCAAAGGGTCATTCTAGGTGGGACAGGCCCTATGCAGGAAAGCGGTATGGAATAGGATTAATCAACATCTTAATGGAAAGAAACTAAGACTGTGATGGAAAACTGAGCAGGGTAGATGCAGCATAAACGTGCCATCAGTACTGGATCATGTGGTGTGGGAATGTGCCACAGGTAAAGCAGAGAGGACTAGAGGTGAGTAGAAGAAGCTGGAAGGAGGGGTTGTTGGAGGGAGAGTGAGGTGGATACGCTCAAGGTTGCAAAGAAGGCTCTGTGTGAATTGTTCCCCTCTCAGTTGTGTGACTCTTCCAAATGTTTACAGTTTTCTCCCAGTAACATGCTTCCTGTTCACAATGGATGCACATGCTAGCTTTCCAACACCTCCACGGCTCCCCATGCTCACTGCTGCTCCTGAAGGACAGGGCACACCTTGGACAAGGGAGAAAAATCTTAAGTTCCTGCAGAGTCAGGTTCCTGGGCGTTTGAGATCATCAAGTCAAACCTCGGGTCCTAACTGAGTTCACTGCCTCTTCCAGCATGGTCAGCATCATGTCATCACAGCCCACGACCAAGAAAGCCTTTCACTGCTCCACTCTGAAGGGCATCCTTATCCCCCAAGGAGAGAAACCTGGACACATCTACCAAAATGAAAATAAACCGCAGAATGGTCTGCAGAAGGAAGCCACCATTCTTGGAGTAAGTTCACCTCACTATAAGGAAGATACTGGGGAAACGCTGCAAATCTATTTCAACTAAGATCCACAGTGGATTAGGGAGATTCTTCCTTTTCTTTTTCTTTTTCTTTTTGGTCTGACTCCAGGCTGATTGAGACATGAAACGGGGCTTTAAGGGAAGCCTGTATGTTCCTCAGGCCTTTCTGTAAACTAACTAAAATATCTTTTCCACCCAAAATCTACACAATCAAGTCTCCTATAATCAGAGATTTTGGGTTTAGCCATATGATTTTACTCAATATGATTAAATTGGATCATCTTCTTTTGAGCTCATTTCTTAAGCATTTTGAGGGGAGACAATCTGGACTAATCTCTGTACATTTTCTCCCTGTTCACCTGAGTAACTGTCAGACGCCCCAGTGTCCTAGTTCATCATCCTTCAGACCCAAGCCCTGAGTATCCCCTTTTGAAACCCAGTTCCTACTCATTTCCAGGCTAGTCACACAGGCATTTCTCTTAGAGAATGCTATTGGCTCCTTATAGCACTTTTTTTTCCTTTTTAGTATGACACATTACAGCATTTTAATACTCTATATAATTCAAATATCACTTTATCTGTGATAAAATATAAGTGTATTCTAAGACTTTCCCTCTTGTCTCTTGTAGACTGTCCAGATCCTGTGTTGCCTGATAATTTCAAGTTTGGGGGCCATTTTGGTTTATGCTCCTTACTCTTCTCACTTCAGCCCAGCAGTTTCCATCATTCTGATATCCGGGTACCCATTTGTAGGAGCTCTGTGTGTGAGTAGAGTGGGGTCTCTAAAAGGGGATATGTTTTGTAAATGCTAACAGGGTGCTAAGCCACGGAGTGACTCAGTCCCAAGAGGTGGGGAGAAAAGAGAAGGAGGGGAAGGCCTCCAACTTACCCTCTGTTATCATCACTTATCATGTCTCTCCAAGTTAGGAAGCTCAGAGAAGGCCTTAATCTGCCTTCTTGCGTGAGCATCCCAGGGAGTGAACGGTTGGGGCAGGAAGCAGGAGGGCAACAAAGTGGGCGTACGGTCCAGCATTTCTTACCTGGTTTTATAGCATACCTCTGGAAAAGTGGAAGGTTTGTCACATCTTTCTTTGGGCCATTGGATTCCCTCCATTTTAAGAATAATCTACTTGTCAGGTAGAGAGTGGAAACGGCCATTTTAAAAATAAAATGAGCACCACTGGTAGATGTCCCAGGTTTGCAGAGAATGAAGCTAGCAATAGTAGAATTCATGGGACTCAGGAGCACACTTGCTATGTGTGCAGGGGCAATCCTGAGCATTTGAGAAGCTTTTTGTGTTGCCTTCTATCTAATGCATCATGAAGGAGGAGGCTCAGTGAATCCTTTTCTTTGGACATTAGCCAGGGTCTAGTCATGCCTCCCACAAAGGGGCACTGCTTTTCTATGTAGTATCCTGTACAAAGGAGAAAAAGACACACATTCTGGGCAGATGACTTTTATCAAGGCATCACCTCTGTATGAATACAGTCCTTATGTGGACACGAACTATAGAGTGATGCAAGAAGGCCCTGCTTCTGCCCCCAAAACATAATCTGTCCTTGATTTCTCTGTCTACTCAGTAGTTGTGCCCCCCCCCATTCCCTTAGAGCTAGAATTAGCTGTCTGTCTGTGACTACCCAACCCCTAAGCCACAGCTTAACCAAGGTTTCAGCCCCAAACGCCCTCCTGCCACCAGCTGGGTCCTTAATGCCACTCGGATCAAATATTGATTTCTGGGCTTTTTGATAAAAGACTCTTTGCATCTGACCCTGTAATTCCCACTTCCCTCAATTCCCAGTCTAACTCAGGCTGTCTATACCAATAGCTTCAAGCCCATGTGTTTCTGCAAATTGTGCCCTCAGATTCTCTGCCCTCAGTGCTTCTGTTGGCTGCTCCCATCTTTCTATCACTTCAAGTCATTGGTCTTTCTCAACCTCCTTTCTTTCAACTTTGTAATTTGTAACCTCCTCTCCAGGTTTCCTGAGCTCATAGCGATGTTCACTAACATAGATCTAGTCCCTTGTGCATCTGCCTATTCTTCTAGATCAGGGGTCGGCAAACTGTGGTTTGCGAGCCACATGTGGCTCTTTGGGTATGTCCCATCTCAAAAGTTTGCCAACCCCTGGAAGAGCCAATCCTGTCCCTCACAACAATTTAAAAATTATTTGAGAGCCATAAATGTATTTTTACAAATAAGGAAAATTTAAAGTAATATTATAAATGAAACTATGATAGTTTTATTTCCATTTTCAATTTTACTTCAGAGCCACATGTATGTGCCCAAAGAGCCACATGTGGCTCGCGAGCCACAGTTTGCCGACCCCTGGCGGCTCTTCCATCTCAACAGTTTGCCGACCCCTGGTCTAGGTCAATGTAAGAATCATAAAGGCAGAAATCAGGCTTCTCTATCAATATGGCCCCACACCATTCCTACAGTGTTAGCTCCCTAAAAGTTTTACATTACTGATTGAGTGATTGACACATTTTCATAAAAACTGAACTGATTGTTTCTCTTTCCTGAGCAGTTTGCCATTACTGGATCCCTCTCAATTATCGCTGGGAAAAAATCAACTAAGCCCTTTGTAAGTATAAGAACCATCAAATCTCAGCTGGTTGAAATAAGAGGAACTTCAGCGCTAATTCTTTCAGTTCAAAAATCTCCATTTGACAGTTTAGGGAAATAAGGCTCAGAGCAAGTGAAGGAGCCCATGTTCTCCCTGCTGGTCCATCAGCAGAACTAAGAGTAAAGCCCAACTTCCTTGCTCTTTAGACAAGTGCTCTTTTCCCTACAAAATGGTGCTCCTGGGTCATTTTCCTGGCTTGGAGAAGGCTTATCTCAGTTGCTTAAACCGTGGAAACTTTTAAATATACCATAGATGTTTCACAACTTACTATGTTGGCTCTGAATAGGGTAGACTACCATCCCAACTAGAGCTGCAAGATCTTTCTTTCTATACAAACCTGCTTCATAATGAGGTAATTTCCAGAAATGGCAGGGTCAGAGGCAGAGGTGTGTAGGCTTAGATCCTGTGGCCATCTCCTCCCCCCCTCAGGAATAAGGAATTATCAGACTGTAGCTGCTTTCTTGACAAAGGTCAAGAGTTGGGTGTGTGGGGAGGAAGCAGCTGAGGTATTTGATCCTGTGCATAGCAACCTTTCCCAGTCCCCTGCACACACCCACAAAGATGACTTAGGGAAAGGCCACATCCTGGCTTGGGAAGATCCAGGGTCCAGTTTGCTGTGAATGAGGGTACATGAGATGTTGTATGAGGCTGGTATGTGCTCCTGATGCTCGAAGCCAGGGTCGAAACCCCAGAGCCAATAGACAGGGTTTTGAAGAGTGCACACCGTTGAATGAAGCCCCAATTCTGGACTTGGAATCAGGAAACCTATACTCCTGCTTCAGCTCCGTCACTGACTCATCTGTGAGCTTGAAAAAGTGTCTTCTCTGGGCTTCAGTTTTCTTATTTACAATATATAGAAAATGAATAGTGGATCTCAGAGCTGGCTCTCCAAGTGCCTTGAATACACTGAAAGAGACAAATATACTTGGGATGACTTGGCACAATGTGGACTCCACATGTGGGACATAGGACAATATGTGGGCTCATTGCTCACATTACAGCTTTGGGCAAAGGTGTTCCCCATTCATTCTGTTCTTCCTTTAGAGTAGCGGTTCTCAACCTTCCTAATGCCGCGACCCCTTAATACAGTTCCTTATGTTGTGGTGACCCCCAACCATAAAATTATTTTCGTTGCTACTCTACAACTGTAATGTTGCTACTGTTATGAATCATAATGTAAATATCTTTTTGTTTTCCGATGGTCTTAGGCGACCCCTGTGAAAGGGTCGTTCAATCCCCAAAGGGGTCGCGACCCACAGGTTGAGAACCGCTGCTTTAGAGACTCAGCACTTAAAGCAATATAGCTTCCAGGCCAAGGGAGAAGAGGGTATGGTAACCATCCTTCCCAACACACAATATTCTACAGTGATGCTCAAACAGAAGAGACCTGGGAACCTGGCACAGAGCCTGGCACATTAGCGTCTTTAGAGGAGTCATATCCTGTGTAAGCCTCTTTCCCAAAAAGGTAGACTATGACCCAGGGGAGAGTGTGGTGAACGTGGCTCTCATAGGTCTGATCTACCGGAAGTGGGTATTCCAACTTCTCCAGTTTGCTTTTGCCTTTTCTCTGAAGCTGCTTCTTTATGAAAGAAGAAGCTGTAGACTGGTTTTCCCAGGAGGGACCAAAAGCCATGTTCCAGAAGTCCTTAAAGCAACAGAAGGATTCTAAGGTTGTTGAGGGAGGACCCGGCAGTAGCCTGAGCGATACCACCTCTGCCTTTGGTGTTGCAGAGAATCAAAGAGCCAGAACCCCTCTCCCTAAGCAGGAGTTATTCATAGTCTCTCATTCAACAAACAGTTACTAATTATAGCAGGTGATAAATAGATCATGAAGAGGGATTAGAGATGAATGAAACAGAGTATGTGCTCCTTAGGAATACGCAGATTAGAGGGGAAACAGACCCAGGGAAGTCCCATCGCAGTGCAATGGACAGAGGAATAACAGAATGACATGCTGCTTCTGTGATGAGATCCCAGATCAGAATTTCTCTTCCAGGCCATGAGCAGCCTGACCTCAAGTACAGTGAGTTTTGTTGCTGCTGGAGCAGGCCTCTCCCTCCTCACTACCAGCATGGTGGCCCTGGGGACTGCCACTGAAATGTGTGACTCTGAAAATGAGGATCTATCTTCACTGCTTTATTTGGAGTATTATTATTCAATACAAAACGTCAAGGACTGTTTCCTGACCTATGTCAGTCTAATGGTAAGTACTTTCAGATTGAATATCCTGTCATGTGAAATCTCTTTGCAGAATCTTGCTTTTCAGCAGTTCCTAGCCCTGTTAGTTGAAACTACCTGGAGGCAGACAGAAAAGAAAAAAACCTTACAGTTGAAAGAGGTCTGTCAGCAGACAGCATAATATGCATTGTGCAAAGTCAAAAAAAGGAAATCAAGAAGGAAAGTGGGTAGGCCACCCCTTCAGTAGTCCTTCTTAAATAATACAAATTCATTCTCAAGAGGTTTTACTCTCCAAGTGCCCCCTTTGTTGAACAGGCATTTTTTTTACCCTCAACACAGGCAGAAATATTCATTTTTATTGGAATTTCATTTGATTTGGGATTAGTATATCTTACATTAAGTTAATACAGAACTTGAACCTGAAGTCCAAGCATAATTATTATACTTTGGTCCAGCAGGGCTAGCTGAGCATGAGAGGAGGATGGGAGATGATCCAATGGATTCTACTCCTAGCAGAAGTGCCAACATCTCTGGGCAGCATTTTCTTGCCTTCTTTCCCCCAAACTCTACGGTCATCACCTGCTGATGGTGATAATTCTGGCTAAGCCAATCCTCTATATACAGGCTAGTAGTTTTAAAACCATAAACTCTGGCTCCTTACAGAGAAAGATTTCTTCTTTTGTGACTTCTAGTAGGAGTTGGGGAACAAAAGCAATATCTCTCAACCTTTCTGATCTATCTGTCTCATGAATCTCAGAGAATGTGCACAAGTTTCTGGGCTCCACCTTCCATAGGTGAGCCCATGTGACCCAAAGGTTGTCAAAAGCAACCCTTTTGATCCAGGAGCTTGAGGAAGTGGAAGAGTACAGAGAACCATCTAGTTGGAAACCAGCATGAAGAAGCCCAGGAGATAGGATAACCCTGGTACAGGGCAGACATCAGGCAAAGCAGTGAGGGTGGGAGAGGCATCTTCCCCACTGGGATGGTGGGGCTTAATTTAATGAAAACTAATCTCAGTACATCAAACTGCCTCCCACTCTCAGGTAACTGTAGCTGAAGGGAACTTCCTGTAACTTCAGAGGAGCTACACCATGGCAGACTAAGAGGACTCCAAAGGTTCATTTTTTCTTATTAACACAAAGATAAGCTGCACAAAAGTAACAAATTTTAAAATATTAAAAAATATATATCCAAGGTTGAAAAAAAGAAGGAAGGGAGTGTGGAAGGAAGAAATAATCAAGGAAGAAAAACATCTTACATTCCAGAAGCTAAGAAAAATCCTAAAACCAGTAACCAAAAAAATTCTGAGACCAGAAAACCACGGAGGCCTGGATAGGAATACAGGTGTGAGAGGCTGGGACCATGGAGTTTTAAATTTAAGTTCCTGCAGGAAGTAGGAAGCTCACACTGAGTACCCTTCAGAAATATTAGAAGCTGAAAATGAGTGTTTATACTACTTGTGAAAATAAGGCAAGGAAACTCTGCCCAATGTCCCAAGAAGCTTCGAGAAACTCTGCCATAAAGGTTTCTAGGATCATCTCACTAAGACTTGTGCAGGTAGGGTAATCGAATCCAAAATTACATATAAAATAGAAGAACCTCAAATTAAAGGATTAACTTAAAAAAATGTTCCTGGATCTGTGAAACTCCTAAGGTTCTATCAAAATCAAACCTAAAATGACCATCGAGGGAGATATCCATAATCCCAACTTGTGAGTCTTCTAAATATCAAAGAAACCCCTCATAACCACCCACATACTAAAATTATCTGAGAATAAAAATATTTTGAAAAACATAAAATATGGGAAACAGCAGCATAAAACAGCAGCATAAACTATGGAGCAAACATGAAAATCAGTTGCCCAAGATTAGAGATTATATAATAATTTGAAAAATGCTATCATGAAAATATATTTTAAATGATTAAAGACATGAAAAAGAAATAGACACCAAAATGAAAGCACATGACAGTAAGAAAAAAGAACAAGTGTGTTTGAAAAACAACGAAATAGTATGATTAGAAATGAAAATTAGAATCCTCGACATTAAAAATTTAGCATACCAGTTAAATAGCAGATTCAACATATCCACAGAAATAAAGAGTGAAATGAAATGTAGGTCTGATGAAATCACACAGAACACAATACACTAAGATGAAAATTTGGAAAATATGAATGAGAAGTTAAAAGACATGGAAGATACAGTGAAGTGAAGAGGTTCAACACACATCTAATCTGAGTTCCCGTGGAACAACATGGGAGACAGGGAGTATGCAAAGAGAAAAAATTGAAAATTTTTCATAATTCAAAAAAGACATGAGATTTCAGACTGAAGAAATGCACTGAGACCATTGCAGGAAAAATACAAATAAATCCACACCTATAAACATCATGACAATAAAAACACCAAAGAAAAAAGGTAAATAATAAAAACCACTAGAAATAAATGAAGGATTATTCTTATCTCAGAATGTGGGATACCAAGAAACTCGCTGCTTACGCCCCTTCTTCTGGTAAGAGATCCAAAAGAGAAGCAGAAAAGGGAGTTGAACAATTTTCTCTGTCCCCATTCTCTCCACTGCTAGATCCTTCACCCCCAGTCTCCTCTCAGTCAGGCACAGGCCTAGTTTGTGGCACCAATTATGCTTGTCCTGATTTGCAGGGTGTGATGGTGGTGATGCTTATCTTCACTGTGCTGGAGATCTTACTAGCTGCATATGCTTCTGTCTTTTGGTGGAAACAGGTCTATTCCAACAACCCTGGGGTGAGTACTCTGACATGTCATGTGATACCTGCTGGGTCATGAGCTATGATGAGCCAGGTCTAAAAAGTGGAGTCAATTCTTGGTCATGAGATACATGTGGAAGGCAGCTTTAAAAAAATATCTTTTTATTTAAGTACAGCTGATATATAATATTATATGTTGGATTAATTCCAGGGGTACACTATAATGATTCAACATTTTTATACCTTGCAATGTGATCGATCACCCCACTAATTCTAGTAACTATCTGGCATCATGTGAACTTATCATAGTATTATTGACTATTGAGAAAAGAGTGCAATTCATGGGATCCCTCATGATGACACTCTGGTCATCTGAGATCATGTGGTGCCCACTGGACAGCTAACCAGTTAGATGATCGCTTAATACGAAGCTACAATAAATGGCTTTAGAAATCACCTGGCCTAAGCCCTTACAAAAGAACCAAGGCTTGGGGAAAATCACATGGAAAATGAATGAGACAGACTAATGGGCTGAGAATGAGAACTTTCATCACCTCTTTCTTGTCATGAATGGCCACCTGTCTCCCTAGAGAGTTTCCATAGCCCAGTTCCCTTGCTAATGTGATGAGATTTTACCAGGACACCTCTGTTGTGTTTATGCTTTCTTGTGTTCTTCCTTACTTCCTCTTGGGTCTTGACATTACAATTTTAAAATATGTTTCTTTGCTCCAACAGCAATAGCAGAAAAAAAGGGAAATTGTGAAGGCACTGAACAATTATGATTCAATTATGATCTTATTAGATAATGGTAACATAATTAGCAGATTGGAGAATGGCATTTCTTTGAGCTAATGATACAATTACATGTTACAGTAAAGTTGGAAGAGCTTCTACTGCACATTTTGAGGAAAATACATTATAAGTATGTATCCAAAAAGCTTCCAAAATCAGAGTTAAAAAATTATTAACTAATTTTATCTTTTCTAGAGTGCATTTTCCTTGCCTCAGTCACAAGATCACATCCAACATATCAAAAAGTTCTTCAAGGTCATGGATATGAGTAACTCTTGGTTTTAGAGGAAAAAGGAGGAGAAAGCCCAGTGCTCATGGCAAAGTGTGATCAGACTTTCTTAAAATTTCAGCTACTTTAAGCACTGAAAGAAACTTTTAAAAAATAGCTTTTGTTTTGTATTTGGTCAACCTGAGTAATTTTATTGCTTTTGAAAATAATTTCCCAAAAGCCCAGTTAGTAAAATTTTATTAGCTAGTCTTTCAAAATGGCCATTAAACTTTATACATTTCTCTGGGTAAACTGAACAGAAAGCGATTCATCTATCCACAAATAAGAGAAAATGTGCCCTCTCTTGCTGGTGTGAATTAGCTAAGTCAGGTGACCATGCAGGCCTTGTTTCTGTATGATTTTCACACACATATTGCTTAACTCTTAGGTATTAAGATTGCAAGAACATTTTAATCAAAGATATTTTTAAAATATATGGCTCCATTCCTGTCAACTGAGTGAATTAAATTTCTGTCAATTAAATACAGCTGAATGTTCTGTCTCATTTAATTATTTTATTCTTAAATATCCGGATTCAAAGATTGCAATTAATCACAATGCTTTCTCCTATCTAAGTTCCAGATCAGATAAGCAATCAGACATGTAGAAACAATATCGAGGGGAATGTGCAACAGAAATGTTCACGTATGTTTTCCAACTGACACATGAAGATGGTCATAGAAGTCATATACAGAATAGCCCCTAAAAGAAAACTACCCAAATAAACAGACAAATAAAAAATGTGGTATATTCAGACAATGGAAAACTATACAGCACTGTGAGCAGACAAACTACAATTCATGCAGTCACATAGGTAAATCCCATAAACATAATGTTCAAGAGGGAAACCCATGTATAAAAGAGTACATCCTGTGTGATTCCGTGTATGTAAAGTTTAAACACAAGCAAAATACACAGTTAAACTCAGGAGCATGGTCACCTTTGGAGGTAACAACTGGAAGGGGACCCAAAGGGCCTATGGGTTCCTGGAGACATTCTTTTCCTTGATCTGGATGCCGGTGCTGTGCATATATGACATGCTCTCTTGTTTCTATGTGATCATTGAATAAAAACATTTTAAAACAGTTACTTTTGACCTCTTGTGCCTGTCTAGTTATTGAGCCATCCCTCACTTCTTCTCCATAGTCAAATTCCTTTAAAACACCATCTCCCCCAAACCTTACAGTCATCCTTGACTCTTCTGTCTCTTTTTATATCTAATCTAGCATTAAAATCTGCTCATTCTAACTTCAAAATATATCGAGTCTGATTACTTCTCATCATCTCACGAGTGCTCTGGTTCATTTCCCATTGGCATTATTCTACCTGGGCACCCACGACACTCATTCTTTTCTCCTCATAGCAGACAGTGAGATTTTTTTCAAAATCTAAAATCAGATCATGTCATTTCTCTGCTCACACCCATTCCATTTTATTCCAAATAAAAGCCAGCAGCCTTAAATGTCCTTATAAGATCTAAACTCTCATTTCCTCTCTGCTCTTCTCTCTAACTTCTCTTCCCCTTGCTCCTGCTCCCCCAGTCACATTGGCCTTTTGGGGTCACTTGACATCTTCTTTCTTCTGGAAATTTACACTTGCAGGCCCCTCTATCTGGACTGCTTTTCTTGCAATTATTTCCATTGCTTGCTTTCTCACTTCTTTCACGTTTTTCTTCAAATCTTAGCCTTAATGAAGCTTTCTCCCATTAACCTACATAAAATTATAACCTTCTTTCCCCTTCACGTGCTTATTTTTTCTCCATAGTAGTTACTACCATCAGACGTACTATATATTTATTTGTTTGTTAATTGTATGTCTACCCCTCACTAGTCTATAAGCTACAATAGGACTCTTGCTACTTTCTGCTGAGGGTTTCAGCTCCTGTTTGAATGTTTTCAACTGTGTGAGTGAGTGTGTGTGTGTGTGTGTGTGTGTGTGTGTGTGTGTGTGTGTGAATATTGTAAATTGGGGGTGGGGGACCTGTGGGATTCCTCTTTATCCCATAAGTTAAGCAATGCAATAAAACTATATTTTATCCAGGATTTATTTATTTGTTTTTTGTTTTGTTTTGCTTTGTTTGCTGTTAATGGAAAGTTTCTTCGGAATATCTAAAGCATTATATTTAGAATTATCTGGAATAATATTCCAAACTGATAAGAGTTGCAGTAAGGACATTGCGTCTTTCATTTATAGCTCTCCTCTGCTCCCCCACCCCCACCCCAACACTTCCCTCAACCCCATTGTCTTTCACAAATGGCACAACCATCCACTCGGCTTCTAAAGTCAGAAATTTGGGAGTCATTCTTGTCTACTTCTTTTGCCTCACTACCGCGTTCATTTTGGGAAAACATGGCAAGAATGACCAACAGGAAGGTCCAATAAATTCCTGGCAAGAAAGGGAGTGAATGGCTTCAAGCCAAGTCCAGGCAGACATTGCAGATCTTTAACATGTGTATTAGAACTCTGAGGTCTCACCCTTGATTTTTTTTAAAAAACAGTACAACTTCCCCAAAAGGTAACCCAAAATTAGAGGCTGAGCCACACACACTCAGAGTCTCATCACAAACCCTGCAATCCTTCCTCCGATCACAGGAAGCTCAGCAAAAGATTCTCCTTGTTGGTCTGCTGAAGTAAACAGCCATGTTGAGGAAGCAAGGAACTGAGGACATACTCTAGGGTCTGATGGCAGTCTCTGACCTCCAACCAGCAAAACCTAGAGCCCTTAGTCACGCAACCACAATGAAATAAATTCTGTCAACTCCCTGAATGTACTTGGAAGCAAGTTTTCCCCAGTTGAGCCTCCAGATGAAAATACAGCCTGGCTGATGCTTTGATTGCACCCATGTGAGACCCTGAACAGAGGCACCCCTCTAAGCCATGCCTCAACTCCTGTTCCATGAAAGCTATAAGATAATAAATGTGTGTTGTTTTAAGCCACTAAACTTGTGGTAGTTGCATGGCAATGGAAAACTAATGCATGCTGAATTGCTGCATGGAAAATGGAAGAGGGAAAGCCAAGTTCAAGTTTCAGCTCCACCACTTACCAGTAGTAACTGTGGTTCTCATTTATCCTCATCTTTCAAACTGGCATGATAATAGAACCTACCTCCCATGGCTGTTGGGAGGGTGACACAGTAACACATGCAGAAGGAAGGGTTTAATCATTTTATTTAGAGCAGCAGTGTCACATACTAAGTGCTAAACGTTACTTGTCAAACTCGAAAAAGAGTGGTCTTCTGTAGGTTGAGAACAAGAGAAAATGCCATTTCCACTCAAAGAACATCACCATGTTTATAGGTGACCCATAAGGATTCTGCCATTTCACCTCTCCATGGATTAGCCTACAGCCTGTCCCCTGGTCTGAGCCTATAGATTGAAATATTAGAAGTCCCATCTTTAAGAAGCCAGAAAGTCAAAATCAGGGGGAAAGGCAGAAGCTAACAGCTACAACCTAGTTGAAATGATAAAATGAGAAGCATTTTGAAGTAACCAAAGCATATGGAATTATAAGCTTCACATGTTTAATATCAGTAATTCATTCCTAAAAATAAAGGGTTTTGCATGAGGACAGTTCTTTTCCATCACTTCAAAAGAAAAAAAATCACAGGTCATTATTAGTCAACCTGAACTCCTATCCAATATTCCTAAAGTGTAAGTAAAAGGAATTAAAATATCTACATATGAGTAACATAAATTAACATGTTAAGTTATAAATTGTGCAGAATATGGTAATTCCTTGATCCCCAAATAATCACAAGGGTTGAAAATAAACAGATCTTTGTGTGCAGTTTGTGGCTGTGGTCAGAGTTGGCACCACCCTGTGCCCACTTCCCCTTTTATTGCACAGCACGCTTTTCAAAGCTTTGCCATACGATCCTGATGGTCTATCAGTTCTACTTAGGATTTAAATACAGACTGTGCCTACACTTAGTTTTGTTTAAAACATTGCATTGCCCTTTAGGACCATAAATTAAAATTTAACTGAATAAACATTGGCAGAAAAAGGTTGTATTGGAAAAATACCTTCTCTGAAGTTTGGGTGTGAAAAACAAAGAGACATTCTATCAAAACAAAAATTAACAAAGGATAGTCTGCAATTATTTCTATACATCAGAGATTCTCTGTCTGGAATGATTTTGCTCCCCCAGGAAGTAAACGTGGTGATGTCTGAAGACAACTTTGGTTATCGCAATTGGGGATGTGCTCCTATAATAGCATCTAATGAGCAGAGGCCAGATTAGCTGCCAAATATCCTACAATGCACAGAACTCCCTACAGCAAGGAATTATCAGGCCCCAAATGCCAGTAGTGCCGATGTTGGGAAACCCTGCTATCCATGGTTGCCACAAGCTAGAAAATACTTAAGATAATATTTGTACACATTTTTTTGGTTTCATGAAATCATTTGCCTTTATCATTTAATAGTTAAGCTCATAACAAATATAGAAATATAATGGATTAAGGTGGAAAGCAAAATTCCAAAAGGCACTTTAGGTTGTTTTGATTGTATTTGTATAGTTTAAACCAGGAAGGTCTTGAGCACAGTTAGTTTTACATGTCTTTCTGAAAGCTAGGATATGCTCTATTAAAGGGGCAGCTACATCTGGTCCTCTATGTTCTTAACAACAGATTTTCCTACCACAAAGGCATATGGTTAAGCAATATGTGAAACAGTTCACCTCCTTGAAAAGAGGATACAAGCATCGTTGAGGAGAAACAGCACAGATTTTGGAAACACACAAGTGGAGTTTGACTTCATCCCCTGCCCCTTAGCATGTGACCTTGGGCCACGTAATCTTTCTGTAACCAACTTAACCTCAGTTTCAGGGTTGTAGAATTGTTAAAAGAATAAACATTAGTACATGTTACAACAGAACACCTTCTACAGTGCTGGAACATGGTGGATATTTCATATACTTTAGTCCCTTCATAGCTCATGAACATAGGTGCTGGAATTTATTTTTATGTATGCCATCTCTTTATTTGTGTTTATTCTCTGTTTATAAACAAATTGAGAAGCTTCTGGAAAACTTGATGCTTTCATAGGAAGATAGGGGGCTGGACATGCTCTAGAATTCTAAGACTCTATGACCCAATGACTGTGATTCTATGGTTCTAGTCCTGAGTGATCACTAAGGACTCCATGTCAGACTAATGGAAGATCATGATTTTGGCTGCAATGTTCACTCACTCAATGCTTTTTAATAGCGTTTTGCCACTCAATCATGGAGCCATCATCCGAGGTCAAAAGATCTACCCACGTCACCACCGTGCAACCAAATGAGACTGTACTGACTGCATTTCCCTATGGACCTCATAGCTCTCTGCTGAATTTCCTGAAAGGAGACCCAAAAGTCTTGGGGGTAAGTCCTCTCCCACCCATGGGTCTTCCTGGAATGGAGAAAAGAAGTTATTTCTCCATGCATGTCTGCAGAGATGCTTTTCAGGGAGGGAGCTGATTCCCATTTTTTTCCCCCTGACCTTTCATCTACAATGTATTCTTCCTGATTGATCATAAACACTTTTAAATCATTTGCTTGTACAAATAATTGGATCATCAGTAGAAGAGCCAATGTGTAGCCAATAACACCATTTCCCTAGATTTGGGTAAAGAAGAGAAATAAAACTTCTGATTAGAAACACGCACAGTTTGCCTCCTGTCATAGAAATGCTTCTGAGGGCTTATTGAACTCTGAGAAAAAGAACGTTTCATTGTAGTTACTGACTCCCCGAATCCTGGGGAAATGCTAAAGCTGTTTCATGAGGAGTTAGTACTGGTCTTTGAGTCCTAGCAGAAGGGATGTAGGAAACGTGTCATTTTTCCAAATATTTTATTGAGGAGGCAAACTCACGGTTTGGTGGCACCTCCCTTGGAGCTAAAAGCCATTAGAGGCTACCCTTTTACGCTGTTTCTGGCATGGGAGTTCTTCCAAAACCATATTCAAAGCTCCATAGTGAGTCACAAAGTAGACATAAAACAATTTCAGTCATAAATGTACCTAGACGGGAGAGAGGTGTGAATAGCCCCCATCCTTAGTACAAGAGTAAAATCACTATTTGTGGCATGGTGACCCAGAAGTGTGGCCTGG